AGAGTTGAGAGAAATGAAATTTTAAAAAGGAAAATAATTATGGGAACAAGTTAAAGAGTTGAAAATAAGTATCCATTTCTATTTAAGTGTATTAGTTTGATTCAGAACGAAAAAAAAGCTGTAATTCACTACTCAAGTTCTATTCTCTATGATTTTTGGGTTTCAAGTTTACAAAAATGGATGACAAATCACTCAATCAAAATTTTCTTGACGAAGAGGTACACCAATAACAACATTTTCGATTACTATTTCGATAAAACTCAATAGTTTTAGGTTAAATGCAGTATTTCTATTTAATAATTTATTAAAATCTTATTTTCTAAAATTTCGAACTCATCATAAATCCAATATTGTAGCTCGAAGTTTCTAGAATTCTTTTTCACGATTCTTCTTGTAATACATATTCACATTTGTGTGCAGCTTGTGGACATCGAGAAATCGAAAGAAAGCTGGATCTTTCAGCATCTTGAGAATGAGGTACATCAATTGCATTGACACTATATTAAAAAAAATTATAGTAGTTTTTGTATTATGGAACCGAATTTTCTAAGTTGACATTTAATTTGATATAGAAAGAGTAGCATTTTATAGGAATCCGAACTTTTAAACTCAAAATTGTAGCTCAACTCTATTATTTCTAGAATTCTCCACCATGATTCTTCTTGTGATACACATCAGGTTATGGACGATGAGTTTGAGAAAGTCAAGGGATTGACATTTAACCAATTATGTCAGTCCTTAGGGAACGAGGTACGTTCAATGACATCGATATACTTATTGACATAAAATTATACTGTTTATATATGATTAAAATTATTTTTGTGTAGATTCTCGAAACCAATAAAATGCATACAAGTACACTCATTCAATCACTCGAGGATGAGGTATACCAATCATGTTGCACTTCTTAGTATCTTACTATATTTTACCTGAACTCTCTATTCGTTTAAATTATGTTGCTTGGACTCTCCAAAAATAATGCTGCATCCATGTCTGATTCATGGAGCATGTACTCTTAAGAATGGATGCTCTGTTTTTATTGAAGCAGTTGATTAAAAGTCGAAGGATGAGTATGATTCTTTCTGCATCAACTCAATATTTGATTTGTCTACATCTTGATATGTAATTTTTTTGATTCAGAAAATGCTTGTATGTATGTGCTTGTTTATCTCGAAATCGATTTTTTCAGATAAAAAATCTTAGTTTTGTTACGTTGGGATTTTGTGTAGGTGTTTGCAGGTAGCAAGAAACTTGAATCAAGCATATCATGAACTTCATAATAAATTTAAAAGCCTCATGAAGGTACTATAATATCATGCCTATACATTTACTTGAACTCCCTTTTGTCATTTGGTAATTACATTTCTGATTTTCTATGTCTATGTTCTTTCAATTAGTCATCTTAACGTTTTGTCTCGTTGAAGTATGTGATTATCAAAAATTTTAAGTTACGTTGTAGAGAAAGCACAGAACAACAATGTATTCAGTATAATCCCACGGGTGAGGTACCTAGGGAGGATGAGGTGTACAAAGAATAAAAGACCGTACCCATCCTTGAGAGGTAGAGAGGTGGTTTTCGATAGACGACCCTCAGCTCAAGAACAAATTCTAAAGAAGAGCAAGAGTGAAAAACAATGATGAAAATAATGAAGAAAACGGTAAAACAGCGTAGATAGCTAAAGTAAATGAAACAACAATTAATAGTAAAATTGAAGGATAATATAATGCTAGAATAAAAATAATAATACTAGTAAGGAAATCGATAGATGTACTAGCCTCGAACCCGACTCTATCACAGGGAAGGGAAAAACACTCGACTACTCTGCTACCCACTAACCGATAATCCTCGTCCTTCATGCTCTTCTATCTATGATCATATCCTCGATAAGGTAAAAATGTGTGATGTCTTATCTAATCACCTCTCTTCAATATCTATTTATGTATTATGCTTAAAACCTATGTATTACATGTCATCTAACATTATTATTTGCATGCAAAATAAAGCTTGAGAAGGAAATTGTGTCAGCTGAGGAGAAAGCCCTTGGTCTCAAGTGATTCTCTCATCCTTATGGACTGGTAATATTCTCTAGTTTCCTTTTTTGGGGTTTTAGTGTGTTTTCTATGTAGTACTCCACGTTTGTTTCGAGAAATTTATCGATATTCAGATTCCTTATTTTTTACTCCTGATTCTTTTCTGATCGAATATATAGATCTTGTTTATGAATTAACGAGAATATGCAATATGTCATTATATAAGTTTCTTTCTTTTTACGTATGACATTAATCCCACTCGCTTTGACACCATCCATTTATTCAAAACTTAATTTGAAAGTCATATTTCTTGTCAGTAAAAGATTAATTTAATATTTTTCCTTTTATGTTTTGTGAATATAAAGGGCTTCCAGATTCAAGATAGGGAATCAATATGCATGGAGAGTGAATCTGTTTTAATACTACAATTTCTGCTGGTAGAAAAACTATCTATCTAAACTAAATAATGTTTCAACTTTATAGTGACCATATAGGTTCATACAATGTGTTTCGTATAAAACAATTATACTATCTTTTATTTATTTATCTTGTTTCTATTTTACTACTATTGTCTTTTTTATGGTCATTGATTTCTCAAATCGTCACTTAAATTTATTAGATCTCTCAGAAGATAATAACCTATATAGTCGTTCATTCAATTATGAACATGCAAATGGTAATAATATGTATTTTCAAGAATATGATCGATACTTGCCTAAAAAATCAATTCTCCCGATCATAGGTAACAACCATTTAATCATTCATTCTTATTATTATTGTTATGTTATATTATTAATGGTGCTAGTTATCATGAATCAACAAGGAAAACTAGGATCTTGAGTTTTTACAGTTGGATGGTCGAAAAGCACCGGACCTCCACCTCCACCTCCACCTCCACCTCCAATCGTATCGTTGGTTGGATCATAAGCGGTTGTTGAGTATTCCGGCTCTCCGGTGGTGGTGTAGCCATGTGCTCCACCATGTCTAAGAAAGAGTAAAAAAAATCAAAACCTACATTTAAGTAGTTCATATATATAGTTCCAAGTTGAGACTATATTATTAATTCAATATTAATAGCCTTATATCATTTTATGTGAACCTATTTGGCTAGACATGTAGTTATTACAAAAGAAAAAAAACAAACCTTTTGAAACCTTTATATTTGGACATATCATAAGATTTGTGTAACTCTGAGTCTCTTAAATTTATAATCTTAAACATATAGATTATTCTTTTTATAAGAACTAAAAAAAAACACAAATTAAACGGTAGAAGTACCCTATCAAAGCGTTATATATACCTATAGAATAAAAATTTATATAATCAGATCATTCGTAAATTTATTGTTACGGATAATATATATAACTTAAATTTGTAATTTTTGTTTTGTATGTGTGTTTATGCATATATATATATATATACCTAGCATTTGCATTTTGGTCCTTGGCCTCTTTCTTGTTCAATTCAGCAGCTGTTTTCTTGTCTCTGTCCTTCGTTCTCATTCTCTCCACCTGTCAAAAATATGTTTAATACAAATTCGAGCTTGTTATTAATGATAAATTCAGTCATTGATACTTGTATCAGAATCATAAAGTTTGAATACTTCACGAATAATTAAAACGTATAAATTTTTCTAAAATAAATATTATTTATAAATAAACAATATTTTATTATAAAAGTCAACGTAACTTATATTATAAGCATATACTAATTAAGTAGATAGACACATTAACTTGTAGTCAATTGATAGGCTATAGCCTAGCTAAATCATACACTTTAATTTTGAGTATGAATATTATTTACACTTCAACTTAGTTGAAGTGCATCAATTAAACACTCCAATTTATAAAATATCAACCAGACAACTTTCGAATATGTTAAAGTGTTTAGTTATTAGTTGAGTTCAAAACAATGTATCTAACGTGTACTCTTGATGTTGAAGTATTTATTTGCAATTGACACTATTATAGAAAAATTTGACGGTATATATACCTTTTCTTCAACAATAGCTTTGGTCTTCTCCATACCAGACTTTGCTGAGGTAGCTGCATTAGCTGCTTTCTCCTTAGCTCTCTGCATATTATTTTTTTCCTACTATGATAAGCTTGTTTTAATTTGTTCTCTATTTATTTGCAAGATGGGTTTTTTATTGGGATTGAAGTGGAAAGAGATTATTCAGAATTTAAATATTATAGATTGAAACATAAAGTAACGAATTTATATTTATTATTGTCATTCTTTTGATATTTTTTTTAAGTTAATTTATATTTTAAATTAAAAATATTAAATCCAGATAAATTCATTGAAACAAGAAGTGTTGCCGCAAGTCGATAAGTGTAACGTTACGTGGTAAATGAGCAAGTTAGGATTGTTGACGGCTTGACACGTTTCAATAGTTAGTCACCCCATGTGTAGTTCGTTTATGAAGTTGGTCCCAAAAATATTTGTCCTATTGATCTCTAACTTATTTTTATTTTTCATCCGATGTTCGAAGACTGTATTAGAGTTTCAACTAAAATTGGATTGTGCACTATAAGTTTTATTTGAAAGTGGTACTCCCAATATGTTTTTTCTATACTCGGGGCTCAAATTCAAGATCGCTAATTAAGGATGAAGTAGTTTCATTACTACATCACAATATATTAGTAATTTCGATGAAAATTGAATGGGTTGAAATATAGCTTGTTAATTAATATAAAATTTTTTTGGTTTTTCATCACCGGAGCTTACATTGGAGCTCCGACTAAATTCGAATCTCGCATTGCAAGACCCATTCAGAGGTGGCACTCCCAACATGATTTTCTCCATACTCAAGATTCAAATTCGAAACCTCTAATTAATGATTCATTTATTTGGCACTCCTCTGTGTGCTTACTAAAAGTTCCAAATTTTTAACATAATGAACCAAATAAATCACAAGTATCAAATAATTCAAGAATTATAATCCCTACATAATTTTGTGCCGCAAAATCAAGTGAACCCTCAAGAAAATTGAGATCTCTAGTCATCTTACAACTTGAATAGAAGAAAATGATCTTTTCAAATTTCTGTAAAAACGAAAGATTCTTTATGAAAAGACCATAAAACTAAAAAAAAATTGTAAGTGCCCTACGATATCATTTCTCCCCGATCCCTTGGGGGCATTACTGTGTTGGGATGGTCAACTGGAGTAGGCCCAAGAATGGATATTTGTTGACATCTCAATAGTAACTAACTCCTGATAGAAACCTAGTTGGAATCGATTATATGAATCCTCTTACATCTACGAAGAGGATCTTCGTAGTTAGACTATCTCTATGTTGCTAGTCAACTGTCTATAATCCTCCTCCTCTATTCAGGCTTGGGACCGAGTTTGCTGGAGACATATTGAAGTCATAAGGAGTTAACCTTGTTGAGTGTTGACCTCTCACATAATGAGGTTTCAGCACTGTCGATTCATTGTAGTCTGATAACGAGTTATCCAAGCACGGATGGATAACTCGTTATCAGATAACTTGCTCCTCAAAATTCAGCGAAAACATGAGATCAGGGACATACCCTGAATCTAACAATTGGGCTGTCAATCCAGTCAAAACTTGCTGCAGATAACTTTCTTGAAGGGACATGATATTACATGCCGAGAATGTATACATTTTGTTCTGTAATTCAATCCAACTATGTCCAGTTTCCTTCTTTAACGCCTTCGCCTTTATCAGTTTCCTAATCTTGGCTGTTTCATCCCACATCTGTAACTCCGCGTAAATGTTAGATAATACAATGTAGGCTGAAGTATCATCAGGATCGATATCTAGAATCTTTTCAGCAGCATATTTCCCCAAGACAAAGTCTCTATTAGCTTTGCAACCAGACAAGAGACAACGCCACACTACCTTATCCGGTTCCCCTGAAAAGCTCTTTATGAAACGATAAGCTTCTTTTGTTTTTCCTTTGCGTGCGAATAGACTGACTACACAAGCCAAGTGATCTGTCCTTGGAATGATTTCGTGCACCTTAGTCATGCTAGTAAAATGGTGAAGTCCTTCGTCTAAAAGTCCAACGTGTCCACAGGCAGATAATACTCCAAGAAATGTAATGTCGTTAGGCTTAACCTCACTGCTCTGCATCATACCATAAATTTCCAAAGCTTCTTTCCCAAACCCATGCTGGGCGTATCCTACAACCATGGTGTTCCAAGATATCAAGTTTTTCGCGGGAAGGATGTCAAAAACTCTACGTGCATAACCAAGTCGTCCACATTTAGCATACATATCAATGAGGGCGCTGTCAACAACCACATTGGAATCAAATCTAGACTTCAGTACACGGCAATGGGTTTGCTTGCCCCATTCAATAGCTGGTAAATCTCCACAAATGCTCAAAATGCTTGAGTATGTGTATAGACTTGGTTCAAAACCCTCAAGCAACATTTCCCTGAGAAATCTCAAAGCTTCTTCATACCGACCTGAGCTCACACATCCAGCAATTAGCGTATTCCAGCTAACAACATCATGTTCTTTCATTTCTTGAAAGAGCTTTAATGATTTCTCAAACAATTCACTTTTGGAGTAAAAATCCAACAAAGCATTGCATACGAAACTAAATGAGTCGAATCCCTGTTTTACAATCCGGGAATGAATCTGTTTCCCAACTCTAAGTTCTTTTATATCAGCAAAAGCTCCAATAACTGATGAAAATGTTCTCTCGCTTGGTTTCAACCCCGAGGAAAGCAACTTGCAGAAAAGTTCAATGGCCTCTCTTCCACTCCCTAACTGCACACAACCTCCAATAATCGCAGTCCAAGCATGCAACTCCGGTTCATCTGCCTCATCAAAAGCTTGACGTGCCAATTCCAATCGACCACATTTAGCGTAAAAATTAATCAAACCAGTCACCACAAACTGATCCATCCCCAAACTAGACTTAACAATCAAACCATGAATTTGCATTCCAAGTTGCAAACTTTTTATCGCAGCACAAGCGCCCAAAACACTCCCACAGAAAAACTCATTCAATATCACCCCTCCCCTCAACGCCAACACGAACATGTTCAATCCTTCTTGATACTCCCTACAATGAAAAAAACAAGAAATCAAAGAAGCCCAAGTAACAGAATTAGGTTCCAAAATTCCATCAAAAACAATCCTAGCTGATTTCAACAACCCACATTTCCCATAAAAGTTAACCAAACAATTACTCACAAAACTATTTAAACTTTCCTCAGTTTTCAACATCCTCCCATGTAACTCCTTCCCTGTTCTTTCAGCACCTAAACTACTACAAGCTGAAAAAGCAGCTACATAAGTATAACCATTTGGACCAAACCCATATTCAAGATTCATTGATCTAAAGCAACCCAAAGCCTTTTCAGACATACCCAATTGAGAATATGTGGAAATCAATGTTGTCCAAGAAATGATGTTTCGTTCAGGCATTCTGTCGAACAGTTGTTGGGCATCATCAAGTTGATTGAGTTTTAAGTACATTGTGAGCAAGTGATTGTTTGTGAAAATGTCTGCATTTTGGGACCCAAGTTTGAGTAGCTGAGCATGGAGTGACTTGCCATTGAAGAGGGACTTTGAGCTTGTGCAGCCACGAAGGAGTTGAATGAAGGACATGAAAGAACAGAGTAATAGTAGCTAAAGTGAAATCAAAAATAAGATTTTGATAAATAAATTTTTAGGCTAAGATAATTTCTTCAAAATTTGAGACTATATGATATAATTTTGTCAAATGGTGTTAGAATGATCAATATTGATTTTGTAAGTTATATATAATTACTTTTTTTAGTATTATGTTTTATTTTACAAGATAATACAGAAAAAAATACCTTTTAACTTGGTTTCAATGGACACGTCTTTCAACTTTGCGTGTGTACAAATAAACATTTAAGTTTATATAAAATTGAACAAATAAACAGACTCCTCCTACGTGACGTCATACATGATAATTTTACTTTTTACTTAACGTCTTACGTGTATTATGTCTAATAAGACGTGTGTCTAGTTATTCAATTTTATACGAGTTTAAGTGTTTCCTTGTGGACATTCAAAGTTGTAGGGCATAAGTATCAATTGAAATCAAGCTAATTAAAGAACATACTGATGTATTATATCTTATTTTTTACTATAATATATTTGAAATGTAAATTTATAAGTGGTTAAGAGATCTTAATTGTCCCTCAAAATGTAATAATTTGTTAATTCACGTACTATACTTTGGACTTAGACACAAATTTTCAATATCAATGCATACGTCTGAAGTTGTTCCTAAGAGGACCAAAATCTTGGGAAAAAAAATTAGAAAGCAAACACAAGCTAAATGGCGGTCCTAAGAACATGCGAATATGATAATTATTTGGCCCAAGCTTATAATCAAAATTAGCCCATATTTTCATATCTTACCACATTTAGCTCATATTGTACATATTTAATTTGAAATATTTAGGGGAAACGAAATTAATTTGTTTATTTGTGATTATGATAGCTGAAAGTATTTAAGTAGTAAGTTCACTCCAAGATGAGTGCTCTCTTATTTCGTTTTTTTTCCTTTCATTTTTTTTATTCTTAGAAACTGACGGAGAGTGATATCCATGTTTATTATCATGTATTTAAACATTGTTGAATGAATTAAAGTAAAAAATTTCACTAAATATGTTGTTGAATTAAAGTGAAAGAGTTTAAAAACTGACGGAGAGTGATATTCATGTTTATTATCATGTATTTAAATATTGTTGAATAATTAAAGTGAAAAGTTTCACTAAATATATTGTTACTGTTGAATTAAAGTAAAAGAGTTTAAAATATCGTTGTTGGCATATTTAAAAGTGAATACTCACAAATAAATTTTGTGACGTATTGAATCTTTTGACAAATTGATGATTGACTTTCATTGGGATGTTATTTTGATATTGTGGTTCAAATTTAAAGTCATTGAAAGAAGATTTGAGCTATTTACCAATGTTTTTGTCCTATTTTTGTTGATCGAAGAAGTTTATTGGATAAAACTCAATTTTTGTATAATTTTATCCCCCCTACCCCCCAATTTTGAGGATAGTTATTATGCTGTCAGATCCTCGTAGTCTTGTATTTAGAAGTGAATTCAAAATTTGAAATTAATAAAATATATATAATAATTTTAAAACATTAATGAAGAATAGTAGTTTCTATGTTATGGTTGAGCACTCTTAAAATAGTATAAGATGATGCAATTTGCAACATATACTTAATTTGATCTACTTGGTACTTTTTCTTCTTTACAAGTATAAAATATATGCAACTTGTAAGCATAATTTTTCCTTGAATTTTTATTTTTATTTAATAAATCCAAATTTCACAAAACACCAAGGTATTATTTGGTTCATGGATTAAATTATTTCAAAATTATATCCTGAAACTAATTTATCTCATTTGGGAGGTGCGATAAAACAATTCCAAGTTGTATGGAATATTAAAGATTAAATTTATACTATATTTCGTTAACGATATAAATTTAATTCAAATTTAATATTTAGATATTCACCTTATCCCGCGTACTAAACGGCCCGCTAACAAAAGAAAGAGCAAAGTCAAACTCTTACTTACAAAGTAAGAATGCTATCACATTGAGTTGGTACACATATTGGGTAGCAACTAATCAAGTGGAACTTGTTTTTTCATGAACACCAGATTTAAGACCAGAAAATTTTACCATTTCAATTTTATTAATTTTACAGAACATGAAGTTTATGCACAATACTAGTAATAACTCCATCTCAGTTTACGTGGCGGTGTTTGACTAGACATATAATTTAAGAAAGAAAGAATTTTGAAACTAGTGATCTACTTAAAATGACATGATGAGATTTTTGTGTGTTTAAAAGGATATGACAAGTTTTAACGAGGCGCAAGAGGTTCATCTGAACCATTCATTAAAAAATTATATGGTATATAATAAAAAGTCAAAATTATTTTATATGTATATAGTAAATGTTAAATATCGTCATTGGCTTCTTCATGTACTTATTTCATTAAAATGCATTCCGTCGGTGATTAAGGATAAAATGAAAGATTTGACGTTTAATTAATTTCAATTATTAAAAGATGTCATTCTCAGGGTCGACTCATGTTTTTATAGAGAGTTCAAAATATGAAGAAGTAAACACACGAAGAAGCTGAAGATAGGCTTCAACATCTACTATATATATGAAAAATATAATTTTAACTATGTGTAAATAGTATACTTTTCTGCCGAAGATGTTCATGCTCTACCTGACTTCGCCCTTCGTCATTCTTTTTGGAATTGACTAATACGCAATAGTGCTAACATAAAATGGAACAGTAGTAGTAGAAATTAAGGTAACAAATATTGTCAACCTTTATACTCATGGAAGACATAGTAAGGTAGTAGCTGTGGAATTCATCAAAGGTCAGATGATTAGTTCAAGAATACTTCAACATTAGTGTAGTTGGTAATATACATGCAATCATGTTTTGTTTTTGTAACTAATTAATTAATGGCTCCTTCAATTAATTTCTCAAACTATAAATACTCCAAAATGTTCATAAGTTATATCCATCACTTGAGGAAAAGCATAGTGTCTTTTGAGTCTCAAAAAATTAAAAATGGATTCCAAAGGCATCAATCTTTCAGCTCTTGCACTTTTTGTTTGCCTCATTTTATCATTTTCATCCTCCATTCTTGCCTATCGAACCCCATATTGGCCATCGATTAAAGTAGGTTACTATAGATATACTTGCCCCTATGCCGAACACATTGTTCAAAATGTTGTAAACAGAGCTGTCTCTCTTAATCCAGGCATTGCTGCTGGCCTTATCAGATTACATTTCCACGATTGCTTTGTCAGGGTACGTACTAATAATTTAATGCTAATATTTTTATTTTGTTAAAATGATTATTAGATTATCTTATAACGGTTAACGTGTCCTGTACTTTAATTAGGGGTGTGATGCATCTGTGTTATTGGATGGACCGAACTCCGAGAAGGAAGGTATTCCCAACAAGAACAGTTTAAGAGGCTTTGAGGTAATTGATGCTGCAAAAGCTGCACTTGAAGCTGCATGCCCTGGAGTCGTTTCGTGCGCAGATATAGTTGCATTTGCTGCTCGGGACAGTTCTTACAAAGTTGGGAGAATATACTATGATGTCCAAGCTGGACGTCGTGATGGTCGTGTTTCTATTGACTCTGAAACATTGACTAATCTTCCTTCTCCTTTCGTCAATGCCACGGAACTCATCAAGAATTTTGCAAGGAAAGGTATGTCGGTTGATGAAATGGTGACTCTCTCTGGCGCGCATTCCATTGGTATTGCACATTGCGGTGTTTTTGCTAGCCGTTTGTACCCTCAAAACAATCAACAAAATCTTCCAATTGATCCTGAATACGCGGACTTCTTGAAGTCCATTTGTCCACCAGAAGCACTTACAAATGGGACGGGAGCTGCTAATCCCGCGAACCTTGATGCCCTGACACCAAACAGATTGGATAACAGATATTACTTGGCTTTAAAGAGTCAAAAGGGACTTATGATTTCTGATCAGGCATTGTTGGCAAACCCGACAACAGCTAAATTGGTGAACTATAATGCTAGATTTGGTTCAATTTGGTCAAGGAAGTTTGAATCTGCAATGATTCACATGGGAACTTTGGATGTCCTCACAGGTCGAAACGGGGAGATCAGAAGGAACTGTCATTTCGTGAACTAACATCTCTATCATTACCTCATTATTTCAATTTCTCCATCCTATTCAAGGTGCAAGGATGGTTCAATGCGTGTCCAATTGTTATTAATTTTTTCTTTTCATTGTTTGTTCAATTTAATTGTATTTCATTTTCCCCCAATGTTTGTCCAATTGATTGGAATTTTTTTCCTTATGTTTGTATAAGTGATTTACTTGATGGCCTCTTTTTCTTCTATTATCGAATCTGATATGGAGCCGCATGTGTAACAATTGATATTCTATTGTTATTAAAATGACACCAGATGACAAATGGTGGACGACTAAACTCATCATTCAGACTCCGCCTATTATTATTTACTGGAACCTCTGAAAGAATATATGTAATGTCAAGTATGGGAACAAGAGATCTTCTATGGCCAAAATTACTACTTAGTTCTCACATTGGAAGTAATCAAGCAAAAAGGGTCTTTTGTCTCTCTCAAGAAGACCACAAGCTTTCAAGAACTGCAAGGGACCTGATAGAGTTATCAAGTGCGTCTTTACTTGTTGATTGTGAGTTTGTGTCTTGCGTGTTTCATCTTGTTTGTGATTGAAGTCTATATTAACTAGACTTAGTTGATATAGTACGTAATAGAGCTATTGCTTTGGCTCAATCCTGTAATAGAGTTGTTACAGGTTGTAGGATTAGGAGTTTAATCCTTATGTGATTATTGGAATTTGTTATCATTTGTTGCTTAAAGATAGTGAAGAACAGTTAGAAATCTTGTGGAGCAGATCATGATTTTCCTCCCTTGAGCAAAGAGGTTTCCACATAAAAATCCTTCATGTTTTTATTTTGTATTAGTTTTCGTGCACACGCATTGCGCGTGTTTCCCATATTAATGATATTTTAAAAATTACATACATATTTAGTTTTGAAAATAAATGTAGCAAAAATTTGCAATTAAGATTATTTTTGAAGAATTAGCATAGATAATTGTTTATCCAATTGATTAAACTATAAAAAAAAAAACGGTGAGT